CCTACACTTGCCACCTCCCCATCTCTCACTGTCCGTATCTCACATGGGAGTGGAAGTGAGTGTGTGCCCACAGGTGTGTGTTCACCTCCATGATCAAAGTATCCAGAGGAGAAAATGTGAGCTCTGATATTTATTTTCTGCACTCTCCCTGCTCTGCTAGGCAACCCCACAGGACCTTTAACATAAACTTCTCAATCTTGTAACAGGACTTGTGTCCCAGGCTGTGGCATGGGGAATAGATCAAAGAGAAACTTGGAGAAGAAAGCTTGAGAACCTGCCTGTGGGAGATAGGAACCTTCAGGGGATTCCACTATGATCAGGATGGAGACTGGCAATTGCAGAATTGGATTGGTTGACCAGGACACCATGGGGACATCCTTTCCACTTCACTCCAATGGTTATGGCCCACCATGGTGCTCCAGGTACCTTAATGCAGTCCTGCCTACCATCTCAAGGATGCTACAGCTATGGGAAGGTGTATGAATGGCTGTATGCATACATAGCAGGGAAGGTGAGCACTGCTTTTGTCTTGTAGGGTAGCTAACAAAGTTCAGGGTCCCAGGGTCTCTAGGTCAAAAACAAGTTCCCCTTCAGGTGTGATTGCTCTTCATGGGTTTTCTTGGAGTATGTACTCTCCAGAGTTTGTCATAAGCCAGAACTTATCAAGCTTTGGAGGTACAGATGCCACTTCTATTTTGCTCTGCCATGTCACCTCTCAGCACATATCAATAGACAGCCATGACCAAGACACTTGACCAGACATGCAATACATCTACCTGCAGTTGCTTCTGGGTGCAGAAATACACGACTAAGTGATAACACAGGTAACAAACTCACACTTGATTCAGAAATAAGTATATTTTAGGTGTTATGCAGATAACATGCACACATATTTTCTTATTTGGCAGCACTACAGCAATGCAATAACAGTAACGAAGAAGCTATCATATGGCAAACATCTGCCATCAGCTCCAAGAATACTGTGTACCCAACACACCACCTTGCTCCCAGTTACAACTCCCATCATGAGAAGAGTGCTCCAAGACTTTCTGTGGTCATGGGAGTCCTCTTTGCTCCTCACAGTCTGTTGTTTAGGAAGGGCCAGAGCACGCTGGCTGCTATTCCT